GATTTCGTGGTTGATTAAAATAATTTTGTGGTGTATGATTGGGGTTAGAATGAGCCTGATGCTGTCTAAATCGACAATTATTTGTACTGTGATTGTTTCTGCCACAATCTGAAAATGAAGAAAAATAAGAAAAATTGGGAAAATTCGTACTTTTACTTTTTATAAAACAATTTTCTTGTAAATGTTTTATTTGTCTGTGCAATAACCGCATAATGAACCGCCATTTATTTTGGTACAATTCGATTGCTTTTTCAGATAATCTTTCAATGTCATCTTCATCAAGCGTACCTATCGTGAACGTTTTCTCCCTGATACTGTTTATAATTTATAAATTCAAAATTACAATTTATACTTGCTTTTATTAAAGAAAAATACATATTTAATGCTACTTTTAATTCATCGAAAGTAAGAAAAATGACTAGTTTTCTCATACGCTGCACTTTTTCATTTCATTAGCCAAATGTTTTGTAAGAATTTTGGTTCAAGATCCTGCTTTACACTTGTATCAATTAAATTAATAGCCACTGCGCAAGTGCTTAAAAATGTATCCAAACATTTTCTATCTCCATTAAAATCGGGAATCATATTCAAAATCGACACTAAATCGAATGATAAAGCTGATGATTTTGATGTATTTGGTTCTTGACCCGTTGTTAATAGTTCATAATAGTCTTTATATGCGGAACAGAAAACTAAGTCTAAACACAAAAACAAGAATAATACGAACTGTAAAGGATAATTTGGGATAGATTTCCCCTTGTCTAATGCGATCACTGGTTTCTGGATACTGCTGCCATCAAAAATGTGATATGGTCAGGATGCCTGAATATTTATTTATTCTAGTATTATGAAGAATAACTGACACTCAGGTTTTTTTCTGGTAATTCAACTTTTATTTTTCGAAGAGACAATAACTTTCAATTACATTTAGTTACGCTCTCCCAGAGATGTTTTCTGCTTTAGGACTAACCCAAGAATGCCTCTTAAAATCTCACCCTTAATTTTGGATTCAAAGCTAAGCTTGTGTTAAATTTACCTCACACGTTATAGTTAATGTTTTATATGTCTTTTATTTCTGTGAAGAATATATTTTTCATTTTATTATTAATGTTATTTTGGAATAAACATTTTAATGCCCTCATCAGCGTGCAGAGAAAAAAAGATTTATTGAGTCACCCTCGAGACATAATTTACCACGATACTTTACAATTCGATATTAATAAATTTTTATTTATACAATACCACAATCCTAAGGGACGCCCAGTATAAAGTTGGCAACTACAAAATAAACATCATTTAATAATTCGGTTTTCAAACCGGAAAATTGAAACCGTTTTCCGCCGAAGGCATTAAAATAGCGGTTTATTAGGGGCATGGGAAACAAAACAGTTAAATACTAAAATTTATTAATTGGGCGGTAGGCGGGCCTAAATTTATGCAACGCACGATGCGATTTTGTTTCTCGTTTTGTGCAAACAAGTTCCGGTAATAGCGGAATGGCATAGTAACGAAAAACCGTTGTATCGGCTGATTTTAATTATTTTATAGTTTCCAATTTTGTAAGTTCGTTAAGACGTATCTTTAGCCATCCTTGCAATACTTTACGTCGGATAATTTTACATTTAATATGAAGTGGAAACGATTATCTCGTACAGTAACATTACTCGCATCCTCGTCAAATGAAATATACCATATAATATGACTTTTGAGTTTAATCAAAAAATATTTATTTATTCATAAAAATTAATGTTGTTCCCTTCAAAGTAATTCCGCTATATATAACATACTTGAGCCAACGTTTTTTCAGTCCTCGCACTTCTGGTAAGCACTTTCTGGTATAGTCTTGATTTCTTCCAGCGAGTTTTTCTTTATCTCCTCAATCGTTCCAAACCTCCTTCCTTTCATGGGTTTCTTGACTTTGGTGACTGAGGCATGATTGTGATTTTATTTTTGGCCAAAAAGTTAGGCACAAGCAAAGATGAGTGAGCATTCCGGACGCTTTCTTCGTGTTGCGTCTCGCAAACAGCGCATAACTTCAAAATAATACTGTTTATTGACCGTACCACCTTGTGGTAAGAACTCTTGTTGTACTACGAGACAATAATAAAAGAAAACAGTAAGCAAAACATTGACATTTGATTGAACTTGACGTGCTTTTTTCGGTCTTGCCGATTCTTGGTTCTTCTATTGTGATCATATCAGGGTCATCGTTGACGTCGTTTTGTTCAAAATTAAGCAGTTTCGGAACAAATTTTGCTGCTACACGATTCTAGCCCAAAACTTGTGATACGTAGTACGAGCCAATAGACATGCCGACGTCTTCAGTTGGTTCTCTAATCATGATTCGACGATTTTTCAACACGCTTTGTTTCACTTCAACGCTTTCATCATTGATGACGTGCTGGGACGTCCAGAGCGAGGTTCGTCATTATAGTCTTCTCGGCCATCTTGGAACAGCTTGTACCACTGTACATATTTTTTTGCTCAAAGTAGATTTAGCATTTGCCGTTCTCAATATTTCAAGTGTTTTGCAGCACTGTATCCCATTTTTTACACAAAATTTTATGAAAATTCCCAGTTGCATTTTTTTTACAGCAGAAAATCGCCGAGCACACAAAACATGTCTAACGCTAATGTCACACAAAAGAAAAAGTAAACGTGCAAACTGGCTCAGGCTTAGGAAGCTGTGTACTAACATAACAAAGAAAAATATCGAAGATCGAATGAACGCAGCCGCTCAATTACCATACTTTTTGAACACACCTCGAATAAATACCAATCGGAGCGGTCAAATAATTCTGCGTTTATTGAAGGAATTACCACGGACATTTAACTAAAAGATACATACGTCATCCGCAAAATTGCTGTTGTGATGCAATTATAGGCATTTAGGCAACACTAAGGTGGGGAGTATTGCCTAAATATAAATGGTTGTTACAGTAATCACGTAAGGTGGGAGAAAACAATTCTCTAGAGGGGCAATAAATCATTGTCGTGAGATTATAATGTAACAATATTAAAATTTTCTTAATTACGTTAAATTAAACAAATTTTACACACTTTTAGAGGTAATGCAAACCACGATGCTTTTGAGTGTTCTTTGGAAATCTATAATAGATGATATTGTTAAAAAGAAGAATAATTGTTATTTTTCTCAAAAAAACTTCCACGGGCTACTGTATATGCTATTTACAAATCTTCTGGATTCTGCGTCATCCTTTTAGTGTTTTCAGAGTTTCAGTTACAGATTCAGTTAACCTCTGAGATGTCAGTAGGATGGCGTCAGCAGTTCGTTTCATCAATCGACACAGGAGGAATTCAGACGATTTATAAATAGTATTTGGAATATTTGTAATTTTGTGGGTAATGCCTTACCAAATATTACACATTTTGTTAACATATATTGAGTTAAATTTTTCGTTTGCTTGTGCTTGTTCTATGACTACTAGTTTTTGGGTACATGTGCTTGATTTGACAAAACGACAAGCGACTCGGAGATGTGGCTTGCGACAGTGTTTAATGAAGCTGACTTTTAACGTGACACTTTCCGCTCGTCTGGTCAGTGCATAATTATCCTTTTTGGAGAAGGGAATAGAAAATAATATATAATAAGTTCAATAATTGACACTTTAGTCATTAGTTTCTTTCAGCACGAGTGGAGCTAGTGTTGAATAAGCAGCAACGAGTGACTGAAGTTTATTAACGTTTATCCCATCGCTTCCAACCTGTGCCTTAGATATTGGAAACGCTTGAAGTGACTCGTGAGTGTTTAATAAAGGTGAAGTTTTAAAGTAGCACTTTGCGCACTTCTAATCAGTGCATTATTGCGTATTTTGGAGTAGGGAGTAGAGAAAAAATATTTCAAGTTCATTGTACGATGTTCTTGAAGTTTTTAAAAAACATGTAGACTTTTTAAAAATTTCAAACAAAAAAAAAATTGTTTAATATATTCTTTTGACGGGGCTGGTTTTTTTCCCTTCACCAGCTTTTAATATATATTTTGAAGAAAAACTTTGGTATTTTCGGAGCACTTCCTTCCTTCGGTATTTACACGATGATTTCAAGATAAATTCATTTTTGAAGGTACCCATATCTCGATGATATCGTATGATAAAGAAAAGAGTAGAAAAAATTAGCTTTAAATTGGCCAAGTTGCCAAATTTTTACGGAACCCCCTGTATGGGATTACTTAGGCGCTTTACTAAGATCTTAGTAATGCATTTGAATATATTGATAGTATATTATGCAACAAGTTTGATAAATGAAATGTTAGTCACGAGTTTCATTTGACACGAGCGGAGCGAGTGCTTAATAAACTAGTTATCGAAGAGGTTTATCAACGTGTTGTCATGCTATACTTTTTCCAGGACCATTGGTTTGTGTACAGTTTTGTAAAATAGTATGAATACTGAGTGACTTGTGACATGTCTGTCAGAACTGACAAAACGTCAAAATTCTATGGCTAAAATCTACGGGAGAAGTTCGAGACCGTCACCAATGAAGCTGACGTTTTAAAGTGGCACTTTCCGTACGCTTCATCTTTGAATAGTTGAGTATTTTAGAGTAGGGAGTAAAAAAAATATATTTTTCATTTTATAAAGACAGCAGATTGAAATATATAGAAAAACATGCTTTTTGAATATTTTATATTTTTCCTTAGGAACGTGGCATTAAAATTCAAAAATATTTACTGCGTTACATACATACACATTTATTGAATAATCATAATATGCGAAAATATTGTCTTTGCAAATATTTTTTTATTGCAACGCTTTTTTTTAATACCCTGTATAATTGAAAATATTTTAACATGTTCTTCATTCCCAATATGTACTTATAAAACCAAATTTTCAAAGCAGTGATTATAGTATTTCGCCACATATCTCATAAATATGTCATTTTTCTCGGTAACCCCAAAATACAAGGAATTCATTAATATTCTCAGCGGGGGGTTACTCAAATAAATGAAACTCCCGCCACGATGACTTTTTAGAACTTACCGCCCTGCGAGGGAAGACTCCCCTCTCTCGGACACCCACCGACGCCCGAAATTCGGCCCGGCTATTTTTTTCAATTTCTATCGCGACTCGCGCGTGTGGACCCTTCGATTTCCCGATCGCGCTCGATGGAGTGGAGATAATATTCCCTCGTCAAAATTCCAGCCCGCACTGATCCCGATCAGACTCCGGCGTTCCGCTTTTGGGACGTTTCGGGAGAGGAGCTCGGTCGCAATCGTTCGTTTCCGGTGACGCTCCTCCCTTCCCGCCCCAGCAGACCGGCAAGGTGCACTTTGAAGTGTCGCAATTGTTTTTTATTTTGTTTCACCCATTTCTCTAGCGTCCCAATGGTTGTGCTAGATCGACGTAGTACCGCGCTTTTATTTTAATTGACGGGTTAAGAAAAACAAAGATCACCTCCATTTCACTTTGCTTGCGTTTCGAAGCTATACTTGTGTCAACAACCGATATAGCTATTACGGACCATAGTGGCCTTCCACCTCTTTTATCCCGTCTCTCGAGAGGTTGGCAACTATTATGACATAGGATTCTCTATCCCTATCTAACATTTCCGTTAATATGGGTCCAGTCTCTGATGTTTCCTGGCCATGACTTCCTTCTGCGGCCTATATTACGTCTTCCCTCTATTTCTCCTTCTAGCATCAGCTGGTGGAGCATATGCAAGCGCTTTTTTATATATTAAGTAACGAGACCAGACGTGCTTGGGTGCTGGACAATACAGTCTCGTTTCTTGTTCGGCTTGATCCAACTGCCACATCTCAAACGCAATAAGTTTTTCGATGTCGTCGCGCTTGAGGCTAAACGTTTCGCTTCCATATAAAAGTAGGGTTCAAATGTAGCATTTTGGTGTCCTTGCTCTAATTGAGATTTCTATTCTTTTTATCTCCTTAGAGTGGTCCAGTTGACTGTTGATTTCCCTGTCCAATTACATATCAGTATTGCAATGTTTTCACTCTCACACGGTTTATTGAGATGTTGATTATACTATCTTCCTCTGATTCTTCCAGCAATACCGTATCACCTGCGTCCTTGTTGTTACTTACGATATTGCCATTTATTTTGGCTCATTCAGTGCGGTTCTGTACGCGCCTTTTTGTAATTTGCATAGTACACAGTTCTTTTTGGGCCTCCTTTCTGCTAATAATGTTAAACCAAAAAATTGCTTTCCTTGTGTGAGTTCTTTTTCTGGAACCACACTGTGACCTGCTGTTGTCCTCTCAGTTTCGTGTGTTTTCTTTTAGGTAGTGCTATGTAAGTAGATGTTAGATAGTCTTGCGGTATTCTTGTAGTATTGTAGTCGTGTTAAGGATGGAAAAAATTGACGCGCCTGTGACGGCAATGATGTTTTCGTAAAGAAAGGAATGATTTTTCAAACATGCTTTTAAATTTCACACACTCAATATTTTGTTCATAGTGATTTCAGAAATATTAGCATAGGCGAGGGTAATTTATAAAGAATGATAATCTCTAAACTGGGGATACTAGACACCAAAATATTATGATTGAGCTCAACATGCTACATACAAATGTCGCTTGTTTCGTAAATACATTGCGTTCAAACTTAAAATTATATTCTGAATTTTTTCATTAATTGAGAAAGTTTTTTTAACAAGACAGTTACGAATTTGAAACTTAGTTGCCCAGAGGGCTCTAGTTGCAACGTATTTTATAGACAAATCGATTTATTTTTCACCTGTAGAGTTGTAGTTGAAAATTGCATTTAAAAATTGCAAAACATTTTTATCTAATTTCTTTATGAATACCTGAAAGATGAAATAAACATATCTTGATGACGGAATGCGGGAAGCAATAAAAAACCATATTTAACAATAATAATTTTGATAATAGTAATACAAAAATATATGTTGGAATTGTCCGCTCAATACATTTTACTTTGAATGTAAAAAAACTTCTCCTATTATTCCTATGGGTATTTGCGGCTCCTTATATTTTCTGCCGCAGCAGCTGCAAAGAATTAACCACATCTTCAGCGAATCAAATCTTTCAAGTATAACCATATTGAGAAGTCCAGGGGATTTAACTCTGGACTCCTTGGTGTCCAAAAAATTTTATGTCTTGCTTCTACAGCAAGTGCCTCATTTTGAAAAAGTAGCCTCGTCTTTAAAAAGAATCTGAACGGGAGTATAATGATACAATGATATAAGTGGCGTTTTTCTTTTCTTAAAATTCTGCAAATTGCCTTATTCCCGTCGCTGCACTTGACCGAGTACTCAAATCTAAAAAGTTATACATTAGTCTTCGATTTGTATACAGTTGTTCAGGACGCAGCAAGAACACAAATCATATTGGTCATCTAACTATGAGAAAAATGATTATGTGGCACCATTTAATTTAAATTTCATTATCTAGAGGTTTACGAACTGCCAAATGTCAACATCATGGATCTTATACAGGGTGCAATAAAATTCATGGTATTTAAGTTTAGGACGCCGAAAAAATACTGGTTATAGGAGTTGCGTCCAAGATAAGCTTCAAAATTTAATTTTCTATTACTTGTAAAGTTATTCTCCGCTCTTATTACTTCGTCTACTAACACAATGTAAAAGACTTCGAAATTATTTTTCTTATTGTCATTTGTCATTGTAATTTCATAAATTCAAACAAGAAGAAAGTAAGCACCAATAATTTCAATCATATGATAAATACATGTACTTAATAGGGTTACTACTAGTGTTGTCAATTACTATTATAACTACGGTCAATTGACTTTTTAATTGACTAGTTAAAAAATGTTTTAAATAACATCTTGCAGTTACAGAGTATTACTTATCATTATTTAATAACGATATATATTTTATAATAAATTATTATGCGTTTGTGATGTCCAGTTTACCTAAAACCCTCTTCAAGCCGAATCCGAATCCGAATATGATATTTAGCGATTCGGGAATCCCAATAATAATACCGACTCCATTTTATTCCCAGAACAACGCAACGGTGCCCTAACGCACAATATAAGTAAATATAAATTTCAAGCTATTTTAAAAGTTATTTCGGCGAAAGAGCAGACATGAACAGAAATTTCCCAAAATTAACCCAAAAAGGTATTTTGCATTACAAAAAAACGTTATTTTTCCTTTATCGGCACAGCAAAGTTTATTACGACTATTAACGATAACTCCGAATTTACTAAAGATTTCAAAATTTCGATCTTCACATTTTTCTATCACAATCGGGTCACATGAAACTCGTTTTGGGTTTTAGTTATACGTTTATTTCGAATAAAATTACAAACCAAAGACTAGTCGTATTAATTCACATTATATTTTTTGCGGTTTTAGACAAAAAAAAAAATCCAAAAAAAAAGGAAAACGAAAAAGTGGCGTTATTCCCTAAAATTAAGTAAAAAAATTATAGTAACTGGCAGTTTATTAACACGCACGGTTGAGCGGTTGGTTAGAACGTTTTTAGTCGTCAAAAATTACGAAAATCAAATCCGACAACGGAACACATGTCGAGAGGCGGAGGTCACGGACCGAAGTGTCAGCAGTGCGACATGGCGACGCGCGTTACCCCCACCCCCGCCATGACGTAACGGACACGCGTCACAAGTACCAGGAGACATTACTTATATTATCACAGACATATTTACAAATCAATAAATACACGATCCGGCGGGTATTTACAATAATTGCAACGGACGCTAGCGAAACGACGAAGGAAATAGTATTCGCACTTGTCGGGACAAATTTCCGGGGGAGGATAATTATTTACAAAATTAGCGACTTAATTAGGGCGACGATTACGAAAGCCGCGGGAAGGGATGCTGAGCTGGCCCGATTCTCCGCGATTATATTCGTGTATTTCTCTTCCGTTTTCAGCACTTTGACCAGATCCGGCTCGCTTCTGTCGTTGTCTGCGTAATATCTGGAAGAGGAAGCTACAATTTTATCGGGTAAAACTTTGTGCAAATGTCTTGTATAAAATGTTATCTTAGATTGAACAATAAAGATCTAGATATCTCATAAGCTCTAAACTATAATATTTTGTAAAGAGTTTCTTACTAATCGTTCCAAGAAAATAGGTTAATGCGAAAATTATCTTTTAAATATTTAATAGACCACAAAATTCATGTACAACGTAAAACATTAGCAACATGTTTATACTGAAACAATCTAACTAGAAGAAAGAGCGATTGATAAAAAAATTCCCTATGTTGAGCACTTAACTGACCACACCGCATAGTAAAAAAAATTATTTCCAATATTTTTTGCTTTCAAAAATTTAAATTAAATTAAGAATATTAGCCAAAAAAAGCAACAAATTGTCTTTTAGGAAATATTAATTGTTGAAAAATTTACCAAATAGTTTCATTTTTTTTCTGCTAATTTCTACGTTCTCTCTTAATCTGAGTTTTCTTGAGCTAGACAATTCACCATTAACGAAGTTTGAAGTAGAGCTCACTCAATTGATGGCCAAAAAATAATCTCTAAATACTGACAGCGATTAGCTATTTCGAAAATTGGTAAACCAACTTTGTATTCATTGGTGTTTATTGAAATATTTGGTAATTCTAATCAAGGAAAACCACGAATCTACAAGGATGCGTTTTTTTTTCATTATTTAAAAACAATAACCCATAATTTGCAAAAACATATTTTTGTGTCAATAATAATATAATGTTTTTTCAGTGAACTTTACCTCACGTCGTCTTCGGTCATTTGATTGCCGACGATCAGTTTCTTATTGTTATAGATCTTGGTGGCGTTCTTGACCATTTCCTCAAAGTTTTCCTCGTCGTCCTCGTAGTTCACCTTGATGAAGGACGTGATAGTGATCTCAAATATCTTGTTGGGATCTGGCGGTAGACTCGAGATCGCTCGTTTCCTTCGTCCGTAGCCGGTAGATCCGTCGCTGCATTCTACCTAAAACGTCCACAAGTCAGCACGAGTAAGTAAAGATCGTCAACTTTCCGAATGTTTCACTTCGCTTATCAATCAAAATTCGGAACTACGTTTTCAATAATGGCCATAGACGCATTTTTCGGAGCTCATTTAGATCTTGTAATACCAGACAAAGTCCTACTCTTTCTTAATTACAAATTGTAAAAAATCCAACACGCTGTATTTAATTTAATAATTTCACTTTATAATGTTCAATATGTGCATTCAAAAATGAGCGTGAAAAGAAAACTTGTTACAGATTTTTTATTTATTAGTTTTTTACCATTGCGGGGGAAATTTAATTTAACTTAAATAGTGACGCGAAACAGTACTTAAAAAAAATATCGGCGCTACCCTGACTAAAGTACAAAATCCGAGTAAACTACCAACAACAAATAAGTTAATTAAAGTGTCGTTGAAGACCAGACGTTTCGATTGCACGAACGGCTTCAATCTTCAGGGGGCGACGTGCTGCGCGGTCATTAAACGTCAAGCAGTTAACTTTAATGAAAACTAGCGCCGCCGAGGATCGGCAGCGATAAAAATGGAAATGACGCGGGTTTAAGGGGGGAAGCGAGGGGAGCTTAATAAGTTCTCGCGTCCTCTGCCGTTGACGGAAAGGTAGATAAGTAATTTTACGCTAGATAAAAATTCAAAATTTCAGATAGGCACGGAACTGACGCTACCTTTTAATCTCGGACCCGATTTGAAATTTAAATCGGAAGTCGAACAAAAAAAAAGCGCTCTGAATATTAATTGTTGGTAATATTTAAAGTTATGAACGGTTGTTATGTGATCATTACCCCCTTGCAAGTGTCCAAGCACACGTTCACTGTTCCCTTGAACTGGACGTAGGACGATTCCGGGAACTTGAACGCCCTAAACTTCGCCACCAAATTGTCTCCGTCTACCGTGTTGAAGTTTTCAAATAAATAAGGATCCACTGAACATCTGAAAATAGAAAAAAAAAGATCAAGCCGGTTAATTATTGTTTTAAAAAACCGAATATATTTTTGCCTGTTAAATTAGAAGAAAAAAATTGACATTCATTGAGATATCTATACGAATACAGATCTATATAGCGTTGATAACACTCGTTTCTGCATCTAAGTACGAGCGGAATTATATTTTGCCTATTCGTATTATTTCGATGTTCGATTTTATCTCTTTAAATTTTATCTGTCCTTTAAGGTCTTTTTTAATTTTTGAATTATTAATGTATTTAAAAGTTTATTGGGCCTGGACTATAGCAACAGCGAGGCAACTTTTTTAATACAAAAATTCAGCTAGTAGGGGAGTTTCCTTTTCTTGTTTGTCTTATATGAACCATATTTCAATACTTTATTCACGCAAATCAAATGATAAAATAATATTTCCTTGAAATATGACTACTAAGAACCTTCGAAAATTGCACATACAAAATGATATATTTAAAAATTCAAAACATTGAACGTCTTTTGCACGTTTTAAATAAATGAATAGAAACATTTATTGACCAGACAATAGCATTACGCATTTTCAAAAAAGATTTAAAATAGACACGTATTCATCTAAATATTCAATTAACCAATATTTCCTGTTACTTGCAAAATGGAAAAAAACTTTTCTTTTTAAATTTTTGTGACAATTATATCAATAAGTATTTTTGAATAATACACACAAATATACATTATCATGTCATACATAATATCAAATTAACAATTTTCGATATCAACGAACTACATCATTTATGTAATCACATATTTTAAATTTTGTATTTATATAACAAAATGCGTCATTATTTATTTATAAATAAATAATGTTTTTTTTTCGGTTACATTACACTATTGCAACTATATGCAACACTAGATTTTACCAATTTTAAATGTTTATTAACACAAGAATGGCATGATTACTCGATAGTTTACATATACAATATTGTCACCGTCAAAAATAGTCAAAATATGTCACAACCACACAGTTCAAAGAGGGACTACCGATTGAAATGATTTCACAAAATGGCTGTTAATAAACGGTTTACCCCAAAAAATACAAATAGATGGAAACAATCGCCGATTACAGTTATCCCCTTGCTACCTGTCTCACAATAAATAAAATTTGCCCCACTTAATCTATTATTTGCGAAACAGTTACCCTTGAATAGATGGAATGGACCGCTTAAAGTTAATCATCATCGTTTACATGTGTTAAACGAAATCGAGTAGTTAAGATAAATAGGAGATATCAAAAAAAGTTCGATACAATACGAATCTTTATTTATGATTTATACTTTTTTTGTAATGTTTTACTCGGTATTTAGTGTTTCGATCAAACCGGATTGTCCTCCTTCCTCCGTGTATGGTTTGTTCATAGATATAAAATAGTGGTCAATTTCCTTTGAACGGATTATGCAAGGGTGGTCATTAACATACAATGCAACAAAATTATTACCCCAAATAAAAATGAATAATTAACAATTACCTAAATTAATAATAATATTCTTGTATGTTAATGACAACCCTTGGATAATCCGGTCAAAAGCAATTGGTTACTTTCTAATATCTATGAACAGACCATAGCCCCTTCAAACCGGTAAAATTATCCCGGCTCGGTGTCCGCCGTGGTCCCGGCGAGACTCCGCAAACACAATCTACAGATCCAATTTTCGCTGCCCAAAGTGTCAGTGTAATCCCGGGGGGCATTAGCGGGGATTTATCGTACAAACGCGGGGCTTTCACGCACTGTATTGCGTCGCAAATCCTCTAGTTTGGTCGCGGACTCAATACGTACATTATGACCACCGATTGCGGAATTGTATATATCCACAGCTTCGGTCGCAATCCGAAGACATTAAACCCCGGAGGAGAGAGACCCGACCGGTCTCATAAACATTCATGGCGTACGCGAATGTGATCATAAATTGGCAAGGAAAAATTAAATCGCTTGGCAACGCCGCATTGCGTCGATCTCTGATAAATTGGTCAGTCGCAAATTGCCTAGGCACAGCGAAGATCGTGCAAAGCGACGACGGTACTGACAATAATAGCAATGACCAGTGCACAACATTTACACCAAAACGAAATCTATACACAAAAAAATTACAAGCAAGTTCCAAATCGACAAATAATGAAAATGTTGAATTAACTTCATTTTTTTAAGCAAAGAAAATCTGTTTAGATAGCAAAAGTAAATATCATAAATAATTAAGTATATCATTAAAATTTATCAAAATATAAAAAAAAGTATATCAAAAAATTAAAAAAAAAAAGAAAACAAGGAATATAAATAAATAAATGGAATTAATATGTTGAAAGATTTTATATTAAAATAAGTTTAGTTGATGTTGTTGATGAGTTCGAGAAATTAAATTAATTCAATTTCAAATGAACTATACAACAATTAAAGACTGACTCACCCGTTGTAAATAATAGTCTCCTCTTGCGCCTTGGTGTCCGACACCTGCATGTGGGTGACCAGGAGGCCGTAAATGGAGGTAGATGCCGGGTCCAGGGAGATCTCCATCTGAAGTGGCGTTCCAGGTGAAACGTTCAGCTCGCCTGTTACCAATTTCCCCGCTTGTCTAACGCCCACCGTGATATTAGGTTGGGGTGCCATTCCTATCAGGCTCGTGGTCGTTTCCAAGAACCTGGTGCCAATTCAAACGAATATAATGGACCTAAAGGCACCCCGCCCCACATCCCGTTTGTCACTCACTCGGGTTCCTGGAATCCTGCGGGAAACACCTGCCTCCTGGTGATGGCATGATCTCGGAGCGACAGCATGGAGCACTTGACGTGAACCATTTCCCTCGTTTTCGGTTGTCCCTCCGCCTCTGTCTTCTCGACGACCAACGTCTGGTAATATATTTTTTTGCCCTGCGGACAAATGTGTGGAATGTGCGTTTTTTTTTATATTTCCAGATCACTACAGGACATCAAATTTAAGTTTCAAAACTAACCGCTAGAGGCAATGTAAAAATGTGCCTGGTCAATTTTTGATATCGAACCAGTTTTTGAAATAAATATGAATTTTCCTTTTGATGTGTATCATGTGAATTTTAGTTTAATTTTAGTTGCCCAATATTACACAAAATTTAAAAGAGATGTCAACATAAAAAAGACTTATGAACGTTTATTATCTTACTTTATTTTATTTGTATATTATGCCATTTTATGTAATTTTACAGCATCAACATTTTTTTGAAAAAAAAACTTAAGCGGGTTATAACTATCTACGCTACTGGTTAACTTTACGATTTGGAATCCATTGCGCTAGAGGTATTATCCTCATAACTCCCTAAGAAAAAGCAAGCAGTTTTTTGCAGTAATAAAATGTCAAGTTTACGAAATGTAATGCACGGAGTTCCACAGGGTTCCATTATAGGTCCATTATTGTTTTTAGTTTATATTAATGATCTCTTTGGCCATATGGACTCTGCGGTTAATTTTGCAAATGACTCTACATTTAAAACATCAAACGCAAATGCAGAAACTTTTAAACGCGAAAAAACATGCTAACATGTGATTTACAGCGAATCGATTAAAACTGATTGAGGATAAAACTCACTAGTTAGTATTTTCAACAATTTCGAAAGGAAGATCTACGAAGTTGTTAGGTGTGGTCCTGGATGATAGACTCTCTTGGAAGAACCATATTGCTTATTTAGTAAACCGCCTCTCAAGTGTCAACTTTTTGTTACGACGATTGAAAAATTTAGTCGGAAAGGATTATCTAGTCTCGAGCTACTATGCTCTTTTGCATTCAATTTTGTCGTATGCTTTTGTACTATGGAAGAAGTCAATAAATTCTATAAAAACTTTTCGTATGCAAAAAAGAGCGATCAGAATTATATTCAACATTATATCCAATATAGAGACCATTGTCATCAGTATACATGTATCACAAGGTATTAGAAATTCATAACTCAAAAAATATGTTTTCAGTTCACTCAGATAATCATAAATACATGCATCAAAAAAACTCTTGACCTAAATTTATACAATTTAATTCCAAATTAAGTCACAAACTTGTTTCTTTTTACTCTGTAGAGGAATACAAACAGAAGATAAAAGATATTACCTGATTAGCCGATTTCGGATGGTGGCCACTGTTTGGTTGTGTTCGGTATCTTCTTTTTATTTTTATCCCTAGGTGGTTTTTTATGTTATGTATTACGTTGTTATACCATTTATTGTTGTAGACTTTACCTAATCGTATGTGTATCTGCATGTATGTATATATATATATATATATATATATATATATATATATATATATATATATATATATATATATATATATATATATATATATATATATATATATATATATGTATGTATGTTTATAGATGTATGTATGTATAAGTATTTAGTTGTATATTTTTTGCTCTTTTGTACTTAGACATGCTGTAAACATACCATGTAAATAAATAAATAAAAATTATCTAAATTTTAATTAATTAATGGGCGAATTTTAATAGCATTTGCCCAGAATTGCACGACATGAGAACGGAAATTTTGAAAAAAAGAACAGAAAAACGGCGTGCCAGTCTGTTCTTTAAGAACTTTAGCGATTACGCATATTTATTTATATTTTAAAAATATGATTTCAAGTGCTCTTCGATATTTTTCCGTTGCCGGGGAGCCATATTATTGAATATAATTCGAGCGCTGCATCCCTAACCTAGCTTTTTGCCCATAATAAAGCGAATATCGCGTAAACAGGCGCGTCACCTAACATCCCCCCGCCCCCGCCACACACGATATTGGTTGTAATAAATCTAGCTGTAAACGCGCGGGGGATCCCTTTCAGAGCCGATCCCTTTAACAACCCTTGTCAGCCAAGTCACACAAGACGCTCTCTCGTGTGTATACAGCTCTACCATTAAGCGCGCTTTATACGTTATAATATCGTGTGTCTAAATAGATTTCCCGGGAGCTTCCTCGTGGCCACGCGCGGAAGAGGGAAGGATGCATACGTGTCGTGTATGCCGCCGCCGGGGGCGGTTTTTGTATAATTCGGCTCATATTGTATCTCTAAAGGTTTTGTCTCTATTTGATATGCCGTCCTGTTTTTCCTATTTGTTCCTGGCCCTGGTAAACGGAGGGGAAAAACACCTAATTGCTCGGATAGCTTTGTAGTTGAAAATTTGAACGTTGACGTTTTGACTGACGTAATCGAGCAATAACGTTGAGTCAGTTAAGTTGGTTGTAGTTAAATGGTAAAGTTAAAGGGGATCGTTGAGGAAATCTTAATTGCTATATTCGCGAAGCGCATCACCAACTTACATATACAGGGTGTTCCGAAATCGAGTTCGGAAACTGGGAGGAAAGATTTAACGTGGTAAAATAATGGTAGTAATCATGTAACAAAAATTCGAAATCCGACTTAAAGCTTGTTGAAATTCATTTTTTAAATTTTATTTTTAACTCAGTGGGTTTAGTTTTCAACGGAATAAGCTGGTATTTTGCACAAAGCACTGATTTAATAAATAAAAATGCTTCAGAAATCTGTCACTAGCGGGCACCTTACCTAGAATATTTTTTTACTTTCCCTGTATTTTATTTATTTAGACTGATATTGCAAAATAGAACAGAATCCCTTAAGTAACACACAAATCCTTAAAAATCATTACTCTTATTTTGAATCGATAAGTGTTATCGTTTAGCCACAAATCGACTTTTTTATTCTCGGCCGCATTTCTAATTTACAGAAAGATGATACTGGATATCGCGAGATGCAATTCTGTTACGGAAAAAGAAGCGGAAATGCAGGCGATGTGCACTAAATTTTTTAAAACAATATCCCACAATTTCAAAAAGTGAAAAAATGGCATAAGTGAATGAAATAACATGTTTCATTTAAGTAACATAAATACATTTAACGTTTTGGAAAACTAACCAAAACATTATACATTATACATTATACTCATTACATTTCATTGTCAAAATGCTACTGTTCATTTCTAAACATTTTCTTATGAGTATGATGTATAGAACTTTAAGTTGGCATTACTGTTCAAGATGGCGACCGATTTAACAGCTGTCAAGTGATTTATTCTCAGTTTGGTTTGGCAATTCATCATGAATAGACTCACGCCTGAACAACGCTTGCAATGGGCCCAAAACGAGATTGCCGTTGTTCCCGATTTTCATAAGCGAATTTTGTTTAGCGATGAAGCGCACTTCTGGTTGAATGGCTACGTCAACAAACAAAACTGCCGCATTTGGAGCGAACTAATCCTGAAGTGTATGTCGAAACACCGTTACATCCAGAAAAATTGACTGTTTGGTGCGCTTTATGGGCTTGTGGAATCATTGGTCCGTACTTCTTCAAACACGATGATGGCCAGAATATTACAGTCAATGGTGATCGGTATAGAGCTATGATTACTAACTCTTTCATTCCTGAATTGAATAACTATGATGTCCAGGAGATGTGGTTTCGACAAGTCGGCGCAACATGTCACACAGCTCGTGCCACAATCGATTTATTGAAAGACACGTTTGGTGACCGCCTAATTTCACGTTTTGTACCTGTGAATTGGCCTCCAAGATCTTGTGATTTAAAGGCGCTAGATTACTTTCTGTTCTATACATCGAAAAAAAACACCCTATACATTTTAAAAAATGCAGTCGAACACGAAAAAATACGCCTAACCTATTTACCTATTTCTAATGATTTTGCAACCGCTTATTATTTTTTCTCGTAGATCATTGATATCTGTTATAAGTGTTTCACACACTAAAGACTTTAAGTGCCCCCAAAAAAAGAAATCCATCGGATTAAGGTCTGGTGAGCGAGGCGGCCAAGCTAGAGGTTCTCCCCGACCTATCCATCGATGATCAAATGCCTGATTAAAATAGCAAAGGTGGTAGTTCTTCTTGGAGAAATTGCAAATGCAATTTCCCCATGAAACTATCCTTTTTCAAATTTCATTAAGTCCTGTAAAACCACATTTACAGGTAAAATTCGAGCCGAGATTAAAAAAGTCGATTTGTGGCTAAACGATAACGCTTATCAACTTAAAACAAGAGTAACAATTTTTGAGGATTTGTGATTCTGCTTAAGACTACTTTATTTCGTTGAAAATTAAGCCCACGCGTTAATAATAAAATTTAAAAAAAAATAATTTTGACAAGCTATAACTCTGAGAATATTACGATTTCGAATTTTTGTTATATGACTTATTACCATTATTTTACCACTTTGAATTATTCCTCCAAGTTTCCGAACTCAATTTCTGAAAACCCTTTATAAACAAACAAGCGGTGGGTTTCTTCTGCGCCCGTTGTTGACAAATCGAACTTGCTGACGTTTCGACACATTTTTTTGGCAACATGGCCTCATTCGAAGTTGCAATTCTTCAATCTTCCACGTCAGCAGCAGTGAAATATTATCCAAAAACAACGCCGACCCAAAATTGTAGGTTACATTAAATATTGACCTTTAAAAGCGACATTAAATGTTTAAACCAACTGTTACAGACGATGGCAATTTGCAAAATGCTTCCCAACAGCCTCCACATAATAGAAATGTCCCCAAACCAACATTACAAAAAATTAGGTTCACGAGGGTATGAAAAAACACAAGCCGCCGTCCTCCAACCATATGACCAAGAACAAGGAATAACTTTAATTGGACGACGCTCCAGCATAAAAAAGGAAGCCCAGAACAATAGTCGGCACACACGGAACAGAAGCCTCCACGTCAAACGCTCGGTTTGAAACAGTTAAAAAGTTCGTGATTACTTATTTTCCGGAAGTGACATGTGAACCGCTTCACTTAATATATCCAGATATCTTTAAAAGTGACAATATTTCAAAAAACTTTAGAAATGCCATGCATCTAATACTGTGGTCACAAGCGTTTTTTC